GTTCATGACAATTACTTTAATGTAATTTACATTAATTTAATTTATTTACAATAAACCAGGAGAGTTGGCGCAGTGCATCAGAGCGGAAGGTTCTAAGTTCGAGTCGCGACAGTGGCAAGATTTTCGACACTAGCTTGTCCGCTAGGTCGAATTCAATCGTTGTCTGGAGGAGAATTCTAGACGTTGACTGCTCTAATCGGTAGTTTTCTGTGGTTTCTCCGATATACACCAAGTGAATGCCGGAGCAGTATCCAGCCGGATACTCGGCTGGATAAAAGCCCTAAAATATTATATATTCACTAAATCATTGATTCAACATGTCAAATTGAAATATCAGATAAGTCTACAAAAGTGTATGTTAAGTATATCAAATAATTGATATTGTGAATGGTTAATTTTTGGAAACGTGCATTTCAGTACATTTTTTGTTTCAAATTTGGTAGAGCTTCGATTATATCGGAGTTTGCTCAGACGATTAGATTAGTCTCACCGAGTGCTTTACACCAGATTAACTATGACGTATTCTTATGTCCGTACTTTCCCTTGGGCTAAACACGGATCTGCTCGACCATTGCGTAAAAAGTTTTTCGGCTAACAAAACCTAAATGTTCTAAGGTGTCCGAATGAGTTAACAGCATCAACTCACCATGCTAGAGATAGACGCGAGGCACGAGATTTAACTACAATGTAACCGAATAGGCAACGCTGAGGAAGCAAGCCGTGAAGACTCGTTGCGCTGGTCGGAACGCGAGGCGGTTTAGAGTGCACGTTCTTGCTCGCCCGCGTTGCTCTAGCGTGAAATATTCTGTTAATGAGACTGGCTCGTATAAGGGACTCGACGTAAACCGCAGGGGAAACTAGCGTAGCGACGGTGATGAAAGACGGAGCAGGCGCGGGCGCTGAAACTCGCTCTTAGCACTTGGCGCTCGGCTGCCCGGCCACAGAGGACGCGTCCTCCATCGCCCTCTCCTTCGCCCTTGCTCTCTCTATCCCATCTTTTCCTTGCACTCTCTCCCTTACACTCTCGCGCTGAACCTTTCTCGCTCTTGCCATCTGTTGCCGTCAGTCACACCCGCTGAGCGCAGAACTATAGGGCCAACGAGTGGTGAATATTTTGTTTGCCGTTGTGGGGAACATTCCCCAGGAAAATATTTACTAATTTTGAAGAATTTTTAAAGTCTTGCAATATTCATCTGCATATTTTTATTTTCGAGGAATCCAAACTCAGTTCGGAGAGTGTTAATTTTCCCGTTTTACAGCCTCAAACATATTACCCGCTATAAATATAGTCAGTGGTGACTAACTTTCCGAGACTCCGAGGGCGATGCAATCTAAATTTCCGTTCATAATATCAATGATGTGTTCTCTCGGTAGAAATTGCGAAATAAGTTGAGGTGACCAATTAACTCGCCTTCGCGGTTTAGCTTATTGGTCGGCGTGCTCGCTTGCCATGACGCGAACCCGGGTTCGATTGCGGGTCGAGCAAGATTATAGTGTACGTTTTCCTTGCAATGTCAGAGTATATTTTACTGTGTGACGATGAGAAAAATCACTTCTGAGCTTGAGAAGACCTGAATAAGGTGTAGGGATGTCTTCGTTCTAACCATACGTACCTCTTTACCCATCACCGCGAGGCCGGGACGCTACTGGTAGGCCCGCGCCCGTTCGCGGACTGTCGCGCCAAGTACAGAGAGATAGACCAATTAACCCTGGTGACTAATTGCCCATGGTATTTTCCCTTCTCTTTCCATTAAGCATAAAATGTAAACATCAATATTCGCAGCGCTTCATCTCAACATGAGACGCTAATTTTTGCTGCTGCGCAGGGTGACGAATACCTTTCGTCCGCCCCAGCTCACGTGCGAGTTCAGGCTGCATGCTTGTCATTAGTGTCTTCGTTGGAGCATTACATGCCGGTTGCCTATATATATGACGTACCTAATAGCTGGAGATAAGACCGTAGTATGCTCGGATTATGTCATTGGAAGATTACGTCACCGCTGAAATCATTTGGTTGATCGATGGCACGTCATCAGCATTCTTGAATCTTACCTCTGTGGCAGGTTTGTTGATATTTGCCACCGAATATTTACCGTTGTATTGCAGAGTTGTGCCGTAGCAACGGACCATGAACTGCATGTGTTCCTTTTTCCCCATCCGGTGCCTACTTCCATAGGACTGGGAGAAGAGGTATCTGTTCATTTTCACCTTCTCCATCTCTCGTGATTGTGTGCGACAGTTCTGCGCGGTCAGAGGTTCCGGACAGCGGAATAGTATCGCTTGTTATTCAAAGGAGAAAGCACATAAAACTTAAAAAATGTTCCTTCGAATAACTGTGAACAGACGTACAGGTAACGGTGGAACAATCACAATGGAAGTGATTTTCGGAGATGATTGTGCTAGTTGCGCATATGTTTTTCAGTGGAAAATGTGTCAGAAAAATGTTTGGTTTTAAAAACATGAAATATCGACAGCAAATAGGTGTTTGTCTCGAAGAAATATAACGATGTTGATCCGTGTAGCGAAATCAGAAACGTTATTGTAGTTCAAAATACGAAGTGTACATTTTTAGTTCAAGATTGACTGAAATTATGATTAAATTTTTAAAATATCGTCAATTCCATTAAGTAACGTATTTCTTCCATCCCGCGTATTTGGCAGGTTAAACGTCAGCCGCCTCTCATTAGGCATCATGACAGGGATTCGCAGAAAAATTTGTTTCGGTAATTAGATAGAAAGCGAAAATTTGTTCGGAGCAATCATAGCTAGTTAAACGACAAAAGGAGGTTGGTGTGTAATGCGATTTCCATTGTATGTTAAAATGTTAGAGAAGAGTGGTCAAACTGTTTTGAGGTTCATTGAGTGAAATTTGCTGTTTCTCTTTTCTTTGAATGCATGTTATCGTAGGAACTTTGATCCGAGAGAAAGGGAGAGAGAAAGAGAAAGAAAGCGAGACTCCTCTTTCCAATAGAATGATTTTGTTAATCACTAACTAGTGGTGCGGACGCTTTAGCCGTGTTTTTTCGGCGTCCGCCCGAGAGGTGTTTGGCATGGCCCGGAGGCGAGTCGCGCGGCGCCAGTCTAGGAAGCGCCGGCCCAGCGTTTACTTGTCCGCTAATAATTCGTTTGTTTGCGTCGGTGAGCGCGTGTGTGTGTGTGAGGCGTGCGCGTGTGTGTGCGCGCGCGTGAAATGTGCGAGGGAAACCACAAAGCGCCGGGGATGCGCCGGACCGCGGGCGTGGCCGGGGGCCGCTTTATTTTTTCCGGGCAGCGTGGCGCGGCGCGAGGCCGG